TGGGTAGAGTCAGGGTTTAGGGTTTAGGGTAGAGCTTCAGGGTTTAGGATTTAGGGTAGGGCTTTAGGGATTGGGGGTTACACGGTTTTCCGAACACGACGACAGTTCTGCATTTCGCGACCACAACAAACAAGAAGTCACAAGCGAACCAAATTGAGAAGTCACAAGCGAACCCCGGGAGAAGTCACAAGCGAACCCTCTACCCAAATACCCAGCCTGTGCTACAGTGACGTGCGAATTTCCCAACTTTGGGGTATCCCTGGGGACCCAAGGGCTGTAGAGAGACTAGAAGGGGACTATAGGGGTCCAGGGGGTCCTCCTAAGACTGAGAGAGGGATGATTTGGAGAAATTCCCATGTCATGTAGTTCCATGAACATGGGGCATCTTCAGAACTCCTGAAACTTGCGTTGGCCTTTATCTGCTTGCTCGTGTTGAACTGGGCGGCAATTTGACCTTCCAAAAAACCGCGCCAGCTGCTGCTGACGAAGATCTTCACGGCACCCCAGCCAATCGGTATGGGATTTAATTCGAGCTTGAAAAGCAGACAGTCTCCCCTATCCTCACTCGAAAGGCAGGACTTCCTAGTTGGCATGAGGCCTACCAAAACTACAGACCTTTTGCTTGCTGCAAGCGTGCCAACACTCTAACTGATTGAAGCTGAGCCACGGGTTGGGCAATCTTGGAAGGCGACCATCCTGATCCTGGCGAAGGAGATTCCTAGGCGCATAGTCTTACAACGAGCAGCACAGCACAAACGCAGCGCAGTTTGAGCTCCAAGCAGCATCTGCAAGATGTTACGCACCAAGACGTACCAAGGCAGGATCTTGCACGCCATCCTAAGCCGCTTGGAACAGCCTGTAAGCGCATGGCCAAAGCTTGTGATAAGAATTCTGCGCGCATGATGCATGGCAGAAATCCAGCTGGCCTCTGAGAACTTCGCCAGATTCGACCGGACGTTACTGCTTGTACTGAGCTGTCTGCAAACCAGGCGCGAGCTAAATTGGCAAGTGACAGCCGCATCAACAAGAAGCTCAGGTTCTTGCACATTGTTGACGGCAGGCAAGCGCTGTGATGACGACCTGCAACCATCAATTGCCCTAGCAGCCAGCTTGTCAGCTCTGAAGGTACGCCTTGAGCACAAAATCGATCCTCCTTGTCATGTTCTTCGCCCGTCTTGCACACAGACTTCACGTAGAAATCCACATTGACCACCTGCCAAGCAAGCTGCGAGCATTTCAGTATCCCCTTCCCGTCGATCGAAATCATGCTGGACTCTGACAGGCAAACAACCCCACTGGCCTGGCGGTAGCGGTCCTCTGATGGAGGATGCGGAACGATTCAGGAATTTCTCTGGGGATCTTTCAAATTTGGGTTCCCCTATCAATGTACCCCATCCGCATTGTTGCATCTCGGTATCTTTACATGCCTGCATATATGAATCGAGAACCATCCGTCTACTCATCTGCTGAGGCCTCAAAGACAGAGGAGGATGAGGGAGAGAGCGACACATACACGAAAACCCGTCGTCGTTTTGCTCTTGGGGCGAACTTTCGCTTACACTTGGCACACCCAAATTGTCACGTTTAAATATCTTCAAAAACCTGTGCCGAAACTTTTTCTGATACTAGCTATGCGCAGGTGCCGTCAATGAGGCCAGTTCAGTCAAGTCGACATCTGTACAGTGGACAGCGCGCACTGAGTGGTTCCAAGCTGCTGGGTGACATCCAACAACTTCTGCTGGGAGAACAGCACCCTGAGAAGATCTGGGAAAGGTGCTGGCAGGACGAGCTATACAGGCACCCGACACTACTTGTGGTGGCGCCAAAAATTGGCTTGACTCACCCAAGCAGAGGCGGCACAGAGAGGGTTGCAACGAAGGTTTGTGCTTTCTCTTTGCCACCGTCAGCTTTGGTCTTCCTACAGCCAGCAGTATTCCTGGCGGCAGGGAGTAGAAAAAGCAGTGAGGCGGCCAAATGCAAAACCGCCTCATCGGGAAAAGTTTAAGGAAGGGGCGTGAACGTGCGGGCTTATTCCTCGATCCACGTTCCGGGAATTCCAGGAGCTGTGGCACCAACGCCAAGCAGTTAAAGTCCAAGCACCACCCTTCAGAAAACTGTCACCACACTCCCCTGGATGCAAGTTAGAGCCAGGTCATGCTCTGCATGACCTCAGCGAAGACGTGGTCAAACCCTACAGGCTCTGACCTGACAAAGTGCAGAGAGGGTACCCATTGAGGCCCTGTCGGCCACCCCAGTCTTACCCAAGGGACACCTCCGGGGCAAAAGCCAGCGCGTGTCCAAAGAGAGGCTGCCAGAGCTGTTTTACTACTTGCTAGATGTTAGTAGAGAAAAGGGGACTATGACCCTTACATAATCCCTATATAATACACTCCCGTATTACCTATTAAGCCCCAGTAAATTCAAGGCTTAGAGGCAACCACTCTTCAGGGCTTTGCAGCGCGCTGCTCGGATTGTGTGCCTGGGCCCCAATCTGCCAGGAGTCCAAAAGTCAAGTGACATCTGCTCAAGTGCCTGCTCCGCTAAATGGGGGCGTCCCAAAATTAGGGGTGCGATTTTGGGTGTTTTTATAGGGGAGATATACGGTTCTATAGCGGGTGTAGAGTGAGTTTAGGGTTTCCCTTTGGGGGATCTATATGGTAGTTTCCCAAAGTAAAGGGACCCCAATATAGACCCCAAAATACTATAATTCTCATTACAGGGACCCCTGAAAGGGTACCCCCAATTTTAGGAAACCCCCATGTTGGGGCTTCCAAACGGAGAGGCACTGAGCCTGTTGCAGCCAGATTGCCCTGCTCGGCTTTCAGCGGCAGGGGCCAGGTGCTGCGCACGAGATCTGATTTAAGGGCCAAAGCTGCCTCGGGCTTCAGCAGGTTGAGGATTTAGGGTTTAGGGCTTAGAGTTTAGGGTTTGGGGTTTGGGGTTTAGGGTTTAGGACTAGGGTTTAGGGTTTAGGGTTTAGGGAACCGCCCCGGCAGATTGCTCTGAGGGTATGTTGGGCTTCCTGCTGTATGTGACTAATCTATGCTGTCGATGGCCATCAGAAATGTCATGATAGTTTCCCTAGATAATATAGACTTATCATGAAAACCAGCGAAAGGGAACCCCTAATTTTGGAAAACCCCCTAATCCCCATCCACCTCTACATCCATTTCATCTTCCATGTTCTTCCACTTGATGTTCCATTATTGGGTGGTAACCCCGAGTTTTGAGAAACCCTGAACCCTATAAAACCCAATATACCCGTATATCCTGTGCAGGTATTAATAGGGGAAACCCTAAACCCCTAACCGTAACTAACCCCTAAATCACCCTGCATAACCCTTACAAACCCCTTCACAGGTAATTTTGGGAAACCCCCGTGAGCTTGTGGCAGCCGTTCAGCGCAGGATCGCCTATCAAGTTGTTGACCCACTCCTTCCGGCTCCCCTGCTTTCCCGCATCTTGCTGGGGGGTAGTGGGGGAACGAAGGATTCTAGGAGTACTATGGGGTTAAATAAAGGGGGTGTGGGATTTGGTTAGTAGGGAATAATGGAATACATAATGTAGAGGTTGCAGTAGGAGGAGTATATTCCTGATTCCCCGCTGACCACAAATCATTTGTCATTCGATGAGGTTGCAACCATGCACTTTCAACCGAGGCAGCATTGGCAAAGTGGGCAGCCGAATGCAGCTGCCGGAGCACCACACTTTCAAGAGAATACCTCCGTCGCAGGGGCACTACAGATGCTTCTGCAGCAAATTGGTGAGACGCATAAGCTGCTTCGGTTTGGGGCTGTGATAGAAGCGCAGCGTCGCATCCATCATCTCGCCTAGGCAGGTCTTTGGCCATTGTACCCAAATCCAATCTTATAACCCCAGTATATACCCTATAGTAGTTTCCATGTTCTTTTCCATTATCCCAATATAACCCCAATATATACCCTCTAGTAGTTTCCATTTTCTTTTCCATTAACCCCATATAACCTCAATATATACCCTAGAGTAGTTTCCATTTTCTTTTCCATTATCCCAATATAACCCCTATATATACCCTATAGTAGTTTCCATTTTCTTTTCCATCATCCCCAATATAACCCTAAACCCTAAACCCTGAACCTTATATTAGTTTCCATTTTCTTTTCCATTATCCCTATCTTAGCCCCAACATATACCCTAAAGTAGCATTTTTTAGCCTTTGATCTCGCCCAAGGAGCTGAGAACTGCAGCTGGCAACTGCGTGCACATGTTTTTGATGCTGCGCCAGTCCTGTCGCAGAGTTGCACACTGTATCTGCTGATGGCCAGCTATGACCCCGTTTTGGGGGTCGTCCTTGCTGCTTGAGGAATGGGTTGGGTAAGGTTGAACCCTGAAACTTCAAACTTCCACGACAGGACCCGAACATCCCACTGTCACACTCGCACCTCCCCTTCCACCAGATGGACGCTCAGTCCAGTGCTCGGCAGCAGGGCGGCCTCCACGCCTGGCTCGAATCTCAACCTCCCTGTACCGTTACGGACTCAGAGCAATAGTACTGATACTAACAGTTCAAAAGCATACAGACATATTAATGACGATAAACTGTTCTTGGGAACCCAAAGCCATCCAAGGCTGTTTGCGCCTTGCAGGAACAGTCCCCAGGACTCCTCAGGTGCGCCATTGATCATTGACCTCTTTTGGTGAGGCACAAGACAGCAGCAGCGGCTCTCCTCGGGCCGCTGGGCCCATGCATGACGCAGTTTCCACAGGAAGTGCCTGAACACAGCAGCACGATTCCAATTCTCGTTTCACATGAGCACCACTGTCAACTTCAGACAAGCAGGGGGCTGTTCCTCAAAGAATTCATGCTGCTGAGGGCAAGGCACTTGCGCAAGGACCTTAAGCACCTTGCGCTGGCTCAACTGCAGCACCTCGGCAGCTCAGGGTCGAGGCAGTCAGGAAGCAGACGCTGGGATGGCCTGCGCTCTGGGCTGAAGGAGCTGGAGCGTTGCCCTGGGAAAGCCAAGAAGGCAGTCTGCGCGCGCGATTATAACAAAGCCGTTTTGCAAAAGCTTTGCCGGCCTCAAGGCGGTCTCAACACGACGGCCTCAAGAGCAAGTCGTTGAGAGATGGCCCTTGAAATCCCTGCCCTTCAAGAACAGAACATACCATGAGTGCGGAGAGGTCACTGGACAACAGCAGTAATAGTTGGCGGGGTTCTTCTCCGTTCGCAGTGATGCCTTCGCAGGCGTCACCCTGAAATATAACATGTCAAGCATGCACAGATAGAGTATAGTCCCCCGGAAGTCGATAGAATGTTGCATTGGGTATATGACAATAAGATCCCCATATGCCCAATATTCTATCTACTTAAGGGGGACTATGTGCCCTACTATTCGATTTAGTATTGCTACTAAACTATCGTAGAATTACTATTCCTAATTTCTATTAATATTCTTATAAGCGTATGTTCTGGCACGACGGGTCTCAGATGCTGACGACTGTCTGGTGTTGACGGCTCGCTGGGAGCCTCTGTGCTCTCCTGAGCGACTCGAGCCAATTGGGATCCCCTTCGAAAGTAATAATTAGGCAATAAAGTAACAAGAGTAAATAAGAATGATAATAAGAATGAGAGGAATAATACTGAAAATAGAAAATATAGTAACAATGATCCATTTTCTTTTCCATTATCCCTACACAACTCCAATATATCCCTATCATACTATCGTAGGAATAGTAGGACTATTGATGAGTTTGGGGGACCTTCATTTTTGGATCACCGAAGATTTTCAAGGTAAGACAGCAATGGCAAGCTCCCGGCTGTAAGAGTTTTTCCGAAAAGGTCTCCACAATCCTCATC